TTTTCCACTTTTAAAATTAGAAGCATTTTATGATGAACTAACGTGTGATAGCTTAAGCTGCAAAAAGACCAGATAAGGTGCAGACCTGATCCAAGAAGTTAGAACTGTTACATATACCAATATTAGACATTTATGTGCTGATGTCATATGTCAAGGATAAGTAGAAAGGGAATATTGGGGAAGTACGATGAAGAAAGTAACTGAAAACAGCTTGTTGAGATGAGGTAGAGAAACCATGAGAACAATCGGCTTCTACAGGTTGACCCTCCTTGAATTGATAAAAGCAGAAGCAACTGGTGTCTACAGATATCTGAACCCTCCTTGAACTGTCTGTACACTGGCGCGTTTTTTACTATAAAATATATGTGTATTTGTTGTTCAGAGAGCAGATCACACAGATGCAAGAAATACTGATGAGTGTCTTTTCCCCCAAAGCTATGCGGTAATAAAGTCAGACTTTTAAGCAAACCGACTTCTTCAAAATTTCTACCACAACTGTACTCCACAGTCACCAGATCTCAATCCAATAGAGCACCTGTGAAATGAGATGTAATGGGAGATTGGCATCATGAAGATGCAGCTGACAAATCTGCAGTGACTGTGTGATGCTATCATGTCAACATGGACCAAAGTCTCTGTGGAATGTTGGAAGCACCTTAATCTATGCCACAAAGAATTAAGGCAGCTGTGAAGGCAAAGGGGGTCCAACCTGGTAACAACAAGGTGTGTCTTGTGCAATGACAATAAAGCCATTCATTCATTCATTCATTCATTCATTCACATATACATATAGATGTATATAGATGCATAGATATATATATGGCGCTGATTTAATTGTCTTGTTAATTTTAGTGGTAGAAATCCAATGCTCATGTTCTCATAAGTGTTATGTTTACACTGTTATAGTAAATATGATTATACCAAGTGTTGGTTCATGAGTGCACACTGAGATTTCCCACTTCAACCACAGCGTGACAGCCTGAATGAACATAAGGCCTATTTCTTTGTACTCTTTTTTTCTTGTTAATATACCATGGTATTCCTTTGGCATTACCTTTTAATTGTTTTGTCATTATTTAATGATAGAATTTGCAGTCACATTCTCCCATGTGGAGGTTAACACTGTCGCCTCACATCTCTGGGACCCGGTTCAGGTCTCCTCAGGTCTCCTCCAGGGCTCCATGTGTGGAGTATGCCTGGTCTCCCTGTGTCATCGTGGGGTTTTCTCCAGCTACTATGGTTTCCCCCCACAGTTGAAAGCCATGCTGAGGCTGATTGGAGTTACCAAATTGCCCACAGCTGTGATTGGTGTGTGAGTGTGGGAGGTGTGTGAGTGTGCCCTGCGATTGGCTGACGCCCCCTCCTGGGTTGTTCCCTGCCTTGTGTCCATAGGCTCCTAACCCCCCACGACCCTGAATAGGACAAGCAGTTATGGAAAATGGATAGATGGATTTTAGCACCCCTGCTGCCAGAATCTCTCTGTTTTTTTACAATTTTTTTTTTTTTTTTTTACAGTAAACGCTTATGTATAATTCATGTGAAATCGACGTAACAGCCTGACATTTCAGTGATTGAATGTCGGCTTTTTTTGTACGAATACATCGCCGCTGGGACTCAATGTGCTGCCAAGGGACTCTCCGCGAAGTCACATGTGCGCGGCCCGGCTAAGCAGAGAGTGACGGTGCAGATCGTGGCCGTAACCTAGCGGCAACGCTCTACAATGCAGGCCTCTGCGATGTTACGTCAAACATCCGTTTTGAATGTTTGAACGTTGCAGTACAAGATGATAGTTTGCCCCGGCGCTGTTTACATTTACAGCTTGGATGATTCCCAGCAACGTGAGATACAGGGACTGGTTGGCTGACTGGGACAGAAGGACCTCACTGGCCTCATGCTTACTGTAACTATATAATAAGCTGAGTCATTCACAGCTCTTACACGCTATATTCACACACTCGCTGTCTTTTACCATCCAAAAGATGAACTCTTACAATGTAAGGTGATGGTTAGTGTTACAGGTGTGGATGACAATATTGGTTCCCATGCCATTCATTCAAATAATGCCATATTATTCCTGAAATATATTGAAAATGGAAGATCTCTTGTCACCCATACAATCTCTGGTTCGCAGTGGTACAAAACCCAAAAGCTGTAAAAAGGGTGATTTCGTGTTCATACTACAGAGACATTCTGAAATGGCCTGGACAATTTTATTCGGACCTTTAAGAAGTAATGGAAAAAAATGTATCGCGGAGATTTTCAAGCACAGTTTTCTCCCTTAATTTGTACCAAATATGTTTTCAAATATCTAGTCAGTCATTCAGCCAGTTTAAATAGATACAAAGACTCACTCTCCTGTTTGGTGATATATGCATCACACTAAACATGCGGAGAAACAAAAAAAAAGACCAAAGAGTTGACTGAGGAGCTTAGAACCCAGGTAACAGCCAAGCATGACCAATGCAAAGACTATAAAACCATCCCTGAAGAGCTTGATGTTCCTCTGACATCTGTGGTAAACATTACCAAGAAGTTTAAGGCATCAGTACTGTAGCCAGCTTTGCTGGTCATGGTTGCAAGACGAAACTTGACCCAAGGATATTATGAAAAGTACTTTAAATAGTGGAGAAAGAACCAAAAAAAACCTCTAAACAAATTGAAGGTGAGCTTCACTGTCAGGGTACAATGGTTTCAAGTCGCTCCATCAGGAGAAATGTGAATGAAAATGAGCGTCGTGCCAATAGACCGAGAAATTCCGCTCTTCTCAGAATAAAACATGTACAAGCTTGCTTGGATGTTTCCAAATTGCACATGGACAAGCTACTGTCCTTCGAGGAGAACATCCTTTGGACTGACAAAACTAAATTGGTGCGTTTTGGTAAATCACAGCAACTGTATGTTTCCAGTAAAACGCAAGAGGTGTACAAGGAGAACAGTCTCATACCCACAGCAAAACGTGGAGGAGGTTCAGTGAGGTTATGAGGATGCTTTGCTGCTTCTGGAGCGGGGTGTCTTGCAACAGTGCGTGGAAGAATGAGATCAGAGGAATATCATTTCAGAGCGTAATGTACTGTCAGAAAGTTGTCTCTCGGTCACAGGTCATGGGTTCTCCAGCAGGATAATGACCCAAAAGCACCCCAGAATGGAGGGTGGGACCATTTTGAAGGGACCTGCCATGAGTCCTGATTTGAACCTGATTTAACATCAGTGGAAACAGCTGAATGGGCAACTGGCAATAGGCACTCAACAAACCAGGAGCAGTTTGCTCAAGAAGAGTGCAGCAAACTACCCGTCGAGAAGTGCAGAAATCTCACGGAGAGCTACAGAAAGTAGCAGTAATGTGGACCAGTATTTGTGTCCAAGTCATTTTCATTTTGTTTTATTTTTTAGAATGACTTGTTCTGTAGCAAATCAAATATTAGGGCTCTGTTCTATTAAATGTGAAAATGACAAATGGGTCTAATAAAGAAAATACTTCAGTTTCAATTTTGTTCAAAGGTACTGCTTTTGTCAGAAAAGTCATGCGGTACCAACAGCCACATCTGTATACATTGTTTTTGAAACATTTCTTAACATTTCTTAAATCGATTAATTGTATCACTGACTCTAAATTCGTTGGTTATATTGGCTTAAGGATTCCAGAATATCACACTGTTATTTATTCATTTACTTAAATTTCCTCCCAGTCCAAACAAGTGTGAACTAGTGTCTCCATATCGACCATAGACTGTATAAGTGTTTGTTTGTGACGGACAGGCATGTTGTACAGCGTGTCCCTGCCTTGTGCCTCCTGGGATAGTCTCAGGGTTCACCGTCACCCTGCACTGGATTAGCGGTATCTAAAATGGATGAATGCTTTACAAATCTAAGTATTCAGTAAATGTTGCCTTGCTCTACAGTGCCACCTAGTGGTTGAAAGTCACCGTTCATCTTAAAAATTTTGCTCGCATTGTGGAGGCAAGCGTTATGTAACTCACCGATAACTTCACATATAAAGTTACATTTAAACAATTTAAAAGATGAAAAAGACAATCCAGTGTATTAGAAAATGCCTTGGGTGATCAGATTTCCGGGATGGTACGGTGGTTGGCGCCCACACCTGAAAGACCGGGGTTTGAGTCTCTGCCGTGGCATTTGCATGATCTACTTACGTCGTCGTTGGTGTTAGACAAAAGTACAACTTGCACGCATTTGTAGTTAAGAAAGTTACCAGGACTGAATTTTAGCATAAAATTAGCAAATGAATGCTATATGTCATCAAAGCTAATAGTATGATAACACCGAGAACATTCAAGTAATTTAGTAAAAATATATTTTAATAAATAAATAAAATCTAATCTAAGAAATATTTGGGTAACAGGACTTGAGATCGATCGCCTCAGACATATTTACAATATCATCAAAAAATACAGGAAAGTGGGAGAATTTACTTTTGGTTTTCATTTCGCCTTCAGGTGACTGAGATGATTCCAGTTCTCGTTGAACATGCTACTTGTGGAATTTGCCAGTTTTTTAGGGGCAGAAATGTATTAGAGTGTCAGGACTGTGTGAAAACTTGGGGACACGACTAAAATGTGTATTATAACAGGCATATTAATTGATATAAGAAAAATGAATTTAAAGTATAAATGGGAAATACCGCTATGCGGTACTCAACAATATAAAAAACATTTTTTGAAGGTTTATAATCATTATATTTCATGGTGAAATGCAGCATTAGTGAGCAGGGTCAGGCGACAAACTATTTTTTCAAATAAGTTTCAGCCAGTTTCAAATGGCTGTCTCGCATCACGCATCTCGGCTTTAGGCTGTCTTGGAAGTGTTCGGACTTTCGAAACCAAGTCAGATCTACGTACTGGTCCGCAATGGTAAGCTGTCTAGAATATCCATTGCGCTTTGGTAAGACGAGTAACGGAACGAGCCACTCTTGGCTTTGATTGGTTCGATTATTTTTTTATTAATTTACTGTATTTACACTCCGTTACGACAGGGGGCAGCAGCGCAGGAAAATCTGCACAGTACAGTGAAACCAACGAGGAAGCGCAGGAGGCGTGATGACAGGGCTGCGACTGTCCGGACGCATGAGTCCTGGGTGTTTCTGAGTGTTTCGCACAGGTACTGTATAGGTAAAAGCGCTATATGAAGGTAAAGTCAGCAGCTCAGACAGTACTTAGTCCTTCGTCTGCACAGCACTGTGTCTGCTTCCGGATTGTTTGCTTTCGCTTTTTTGTAAATTTGCTTTAGTCTGTTAAATATAAGCATCCAGAAACTTTGCAGGGAAGATGAGCGGCGACCGCGGCGCTGGGAAAGGAGCCGCTCCGTGTCACGTAGTGAAGGAGGAGGTGGGACCACCCGATCTCGCTTTAGCCGACTATGTGTGCATGGAAATCTCGGGGGTGCCGCTACTCGCTGGTTCAAGTAACATTATGGCCCTCTGCAGCTGATCATACAGTGATCTTATGGACACTTTATTCATTCAATAACAAGGTTTTTTTTTTCATTTTATACTCAATAGGTTATAGCAGAGGGAAGATGGCTCAAGATGGAAAAAACTACCTATGTGGACGGCGGTGGGACAACCAGGTACTGTTTGTGTCAGTTGTTTACCTCTGGTGATGAAACGGAGCTTGTGACTTGCGATTTCGTCTCAAAAATAATCTGGTTAGGCTACTCAGTTAAGCGTTGTTAAAGGGTAAAACTTGGCCTTTGTCCTGGTAGGAGTGTTGACATTATTATCTTATCCAGTGAGTCTGGTGTCTCAGTTTAGAAATGTACGACGCACACAGATACACTCAAGCAACACAGTGGGCACAGTGTTTGAACGGAGCGTTATCTCCTGTCTTTACTTGATTTGAAAGACTACTCCATCGCGATGTGATTAGTGGAAATAAAATAATGGCTTCATTGGAATTGATTAAGTACCCTGTTCTTAAACGAAAGCGAAATTCATTCGTGTAAATTTTACCGAATGGCGATAAATATATGCAATTTCCATTTTAATCAGGATCTGGGAAACCGCAAAGAGGACCACGAGAAAGCGCGACTCCTGCGCTGATGGTACGATTCGCTGGTGGAGAGGCAGCCGCGCGCGCTGAGAGGTGCGGGGGGATCGCGCTAAGTATCAGTGTGTCTGTTCACAGGCGTGGGAATCATCGCCATCCTGAAAAGGACCCTCCACATAGACTGCGTGGTGCTGGTGAAGCAGTTTCGGCCGCCGATGGGCCGTCACACCCTGGAGTTCCCAGCAGGTAGCACGATTGCACAACCGGAAGCAGTGACTGTTTACTGATGTCAGTGTGTGCATTAAGCAGCTTAAGCCCAGAATGCGGCCTTTTAAAAGATAAACCACGACTAATCTGCTGTAGTAATCCCAAAATGACGTCAGGTTTTTGCTTGTGATGTTTTTTCCTTATGGCAAGTGTGTGTTGTATGTTTTCCAGTCCTTGGCTTGTTGCTGAATATTAATAATCAGTTATCTTAATTGGAACCACCAAGGTTTCATAATGCATAGACAGAACTATCTAGAATGTATAGTAAGCCATGGGCTATGCGGAGTGGGCGACATTGCCCAGATGGGACAGGGGGCCACACACAGGTCGGTGCCCTGCTGGTATTAAAGTTGATGACCAGGCAGGTCCTCAGTGGGTGTCCCGTTTGCTAATACAAATAATTTCCATTAATAATAATGAGGGGGTGGGGGGTTACTGGATTAGCACTCTGTGCCTGTGTTCAGGAAGCCGCAGGTTCAAATCCCAGGGTCAGCAGAGCGAATTCACTGTTGGGCCCTTCAGCAGGGCCCTTATTAAGTCCCACTTGCTCTGCTTTCTAAAGAAAAATGTATGTCTGCTAAACAAATAAACTTTTTTAAAAAGTAGGACATCTGTCGTGATGCAGGGCTTTTGGACGAGAACGAGAGCATGGAAGCGGCGGCACTGAGGGAGCTGAAGGAGGAGACGGGGTACATAGGAGAGGTGGTGGGCACTTCCCCAGGTAGCCGGTTTCCTCCTCTTAAGCCGCTCTGACTCCGTCTCAGGGCGTTAACCTCAGGGCAAAAGTGAAGTGTGGAGGGTTGGTATGTATGGGAGTCGTCATGTCATTCTACAGGTTTTTTTTTTGTCATTTCCCAGTGTCATGCCTGGATCCTGGCCTGTCGAACTGCACCACTCATGTCGTCATGGTTAACATCAATGGCGATGATCCTGAGAACCTCAATCCTACACAGCAGCTGGGTGAGGTGACATCTGTGGGATGCAGTGGCTGGGATGCAGTGGCTGGGATGCAGTGGCTAGCATACCATGGCTGGGATGCAGTGGCTAGCATACCGTGGCTGGGATGCAGTGGCTGGACCTCAGGACCAGCAGTACTGCTATGGTCCAGGATTTGGCCTATGGGTTTGGCTCTTACAATGATGTCTCTAACCCTCCAATGTGGCAAGACAGTGTGACAGAACCACTCTGCTTTGGTTTTTGGCTTCATTCAGGAACCTGGAACCAGCTCATTATTTACAAACTGGTAGAAGCAGTTTAAAAGCAGCATTTCTGGTTACACAGAAAAACTAGCAGAACAATGTCCTGGTGGTACAGAAGCAAAACATTGTTTTCAAACACTTGGCAAGAAGAGCCGGGAGCAGCACAAACTGTTGGATTTGAAAACTTTACAGCAGTGATGTAATCTTAGAAGAAAATCCGCAAAGCAGACTGGACTTGCTATTTTGCTTTAAAGCCGGTTACTACAGTGATTCTGATTATATTCTTCATTACGATTAAGAGGCCTGTAAATAGAGATAACGGGGAAATGGCAGGAAGTATGGTGCTCAGCATAAACGAGTAAACGCCTTGAACATTTTTACCCATTTCTCAATGAACCCCAGAACAATTAACAGAATTCTGACAAAACTGAGTTTTGTTAAACATTTTTCCATTTACACACAAAAGCTTGGTCACCAACATGATTAGGATAAGAAAAATAATGAATTAAAATGAATTCACCCTGCAACAAATTCCACCGGATATAATGCTTCGTGTGGTCTTGATTTTTAAGGATGGTACTAACTCTTCTAGACATGGAATGAACAAGTGGCCGATATACTGCCACGCCTGTCTTTCTCCGCTCTTGGAGAACGAGCGCTTGCAGAGCCTGGATGCTGGATGGGGAATGACGCTCTGTTGGCTCGAGTCGGGTGATACTTGGCCACTGAATCACGTTCACTGTGTTCTTCAGAAATGCAGCAGTGGCTTAGATGCATGTGTTTTGGCTCACTGTCACGTTGAGAGAGGGCCTAGTGACTCAGGGCATGATGGTAGCATCTGCTGTCAGTATCGAGCACTATATGTGTGAATTCATGGTGCCGTCAGTGAACTGCAGTTCCCCGACACAATTGGCTGGGCTTGCATCTGTGTGGGCTTCAGTAGTGGCTTCCTTTGCGGACGACACCCGTGTTCACCACTCCTCCGCAGCGAATGTTGAATTGTCACGGGACACACTTTACCCAACTGTGATGCACTTGCACGGTGATTTTTCTCAACGCTTGTGTCCACGGCTTTGTGGTCGGCCTGGACGTCTCGGAGATTTTGCCATAAGTTTGTTTTTTTTTTGAATTTCTGAATCACTTCTGCTACTGTGTTCCAGCTGATGAGTTGATGTCTTACTCATTTTCTCATAGCTTTGACCTTTTTTGTGTAAGGAAATGACTTGTGACATTTCTCTTCCATGTGATGCCATTATTGTCAGCATTGAATGGGAGGGGATTTAATTTAAATACTCCTCTTAATTGTCAGTGATCTCGGGGCCACCTGTGTAATGACAGAGTAGGACAGAACTATTCAAGTCACGGTCCTCAAGGTCTGAGCAATGCTCGTTCTCCAGCCTTCCTTTTTAGCATTTTATCACATTTTTTTCCTAAGACCTCCATTGGGGTTGTACTTATTTTTTTCACCATGGTCTAAAAATCATTGTGTTAAAAGTATTCCAGTCTTGTGTGTTTGCACTGATAAAACTCATCTGCAACCAATAAACCAGATTTGCTGGAATCATTTTTGGTGCAGGATCTCATAAAGAGATCTAACGAGAGACAGATGACTATGACATCGTTTGGGGTATACTCATTTATGCTGGGCACTGTAGATCTCTGGTTTACTCAGATGTTGGGTGCTGAGTTATTAGAACAAACGAGTAGCCAGTATAAGTACAAGAGATGTAATATTTACAGCCTGCTGTTCACTTCTGACGCTGTCTCTCATCTTTTTTCAGGTGAAGAAGGTATGCTTTCATTTTTTCTATGTTTCTTTAGGTGAATTTCCTTTAGACTGATTCATGATGTACATTTTTCGGCACTGATCCATAATCATTTTGCCCTGCAGAATTTGTTGAAGTTGTACTTCTACCTCTCAACGAGTTCCAGAAGAAAGTCGATGGTAAGTCTTCACTTGGCGGTGAATGTGTAGACATGGCAGTGTGGCAGGATTCAGTTTTGCGTGCCGGGTAATATTCAAAGGAATATCGCTTACAGCATTTAAAATGTACTCTGATGACCTGCTAGTAAGATTTGTCAGATGCCATGGATGGGAACCACTTCAGATAAAAAATGTACAAACCAAATGCATGCAAGGTGATTTGTGCACATTAATAATTAAAGCAGAGGAGTGTTAGACCCATGATTATTTGACGATTTGTGTCCATGTTTGAGAGATTAACAGCACAGTGGGTTTACTTCATCACATCGGTCCCAGTAGCCTTAACTGGAAATATCCAGCTCTTGTGTGTAAACACTGGGCCCGGAGAACGTAGGCCTGCGCATTTCCATGTGAATGACTGCCTGTTTACTGTGCTCCTCTGTCTCCTTAAACCCAGAACTGCTGCAGAAAGAAGACATTATTGTGGACTGCAAGGTGTACATGTACGCCATGGGTATGACGCAAGCGGTCGCCAAGCCCAGCGAGCTTCCTGTGCTGAAACAGTGAGGGTGACCCTTGTGGGAAGGAACCCGAAATCTAATTTCAGGGGAAACACTTTATCATGGACCTTGATTTAGGTGCTTTGAGTCTGAGTTCAGACAGACAGTATTTAGAACTTTAGTATGTTTGTTTTGTATCAGATAGCTGTTAAGCTGTTTTTAAGTAAAACAACATGGTATGTTTTGTAAACGCGTCCGTCTTGCATGAATTAATAAACATCTGCTCACTGACTTGATGAGTGATCTTAAAGATTTGTGTAGTTTATTTTCCTGAATGGCTGTACTTGTGTTCTGGATGTCGAACAAGTTTGTTTACTTCAGGAATTGTGACACAGGCAAACGTGATGAACAGGATTTAAATTTTTATTTTTTTTTTAAATTTCCAACAACTGAAGTAACAAGACATTTCTAACCTTCCATAGCATGGTAGGCAGGGATTACACGAAGAAAAGGTCCAGGTTTTAGGACTTGTTTGGCTACGCCCTAAAGCACACTGCTCAGGAGCCGAGCACTGCACCGACTGCTTTCTGTGTCTGAACAAAGCAGCTTGACTCAGTACACGCTATGGAAAGAATAATACATTAAAAATTTGGAAGAGAACTTTGCTTGTGTACTGAACAACAAAGGATAAAACACTGTGAATCACTCAAATTAAATAGAAACTACGATAAAAATCTTGAGGTGCATATATTCACAGCATCTTTAAAATGCTAAGGAGTTAACTTTCATTGTAATTACCATGCTATTTAGGCCTAGTATGCCCTTTGAACAAAGTAATGCTTTTAATTTTGCAACCCATTTTTAAGGCAAATGATGCTAATTTTTTAATGCTTTACTGCAGTAAAATTCTGCCATTAGTCACATGATAGCTAATTAGAAATAGTGTTCTGGCCTTTTTGTTTAGTGATTCTTTTTTAGTGTTTAAAACATTAAGCAAACATTCAGACCGATTTCATACTGATCACCACAGGTTATGTTGTATATGGAAGCACAAGACTGTACAGTATGGAGATGAATCTGACCTGATTTTTTTAATGCCTCAAGATGTGAGACTTCAGTTTTTAAAAACTTCACTTGCTGAATTCTCTCAGCAGCAAGTCAGCAGGTTTCTGAGTTCTTCACGAAAAGGAAACGAGACCCAATATGGATCCTCCCCTTAGTTTCATTCACATCATCTTTTAGTCCCTGATTCTCGAATTTTTAACTTCACATCACATTTCCTCTGCTCCAGCAAGTACCTTGAAGTGCTCCTCAATCAAAGTGACACAGACTTTTAGTAACATCTTATTGGCTGCTTGAGCCCCTGAGTAGTGCAGGCAGCTGTATGTCCAGCAGGGGGCGCTGCACAGGAGTACCTCAGGCAAAGGTGGCTTTCAGGATGACCTCGTGCTGCTGCTGATGCAGGGTCCCGATGCCCACGGCCGGAGCAGGGAGGGGCGGCCGGCTGATCAAACGGAGCTGCGTGCAAGAGGGGCCACAAACCGTGATGTCATCAACACTTGGCTTTCAGCGGTAAGATGACGGAGTGACAGACAGTGACGCCACGTTAAACGAGGTGCGTTTAGGAAGCTGCTGAGAACTTACCTTACGGGCCAGCTGCTGCTCGAACCTGGGGGCCACAAAAGACCAGGGGCCCATATTCTGGGGCTCCTCCTGACTCCAGATGAACTCTGTGAGAGAGCACGAGTTCAGAGTCATTGGGGGATGCCCACTGACCCATAATAGCTAAGCAGAAATAAGAAAAGACCCAAAACATCCTGCCACAGATGTAGTCAAGCAGTCTAATGCATGGTGATGCAGGGTCTGCAGACTGGACCTTTGGCGCTGCTGTATTTGCCGAGCTCCTGCTGCAGGGCCTCCAGGGGGAAGGGGCAGAGCTCCTCCAACCGGATCAGCGCCGAACCCTCTGCTGCCCCCGATGCTTCCATCTGCTTCAGCAGGGCATAGTAATGTTTGCCTGAGCAAAACACCACCCGCTGGACTCTGCGTGGAATTGCAGGCCATTTCAGCAGAAGCTCACATGCTCACCGGGCACGTTCACGGCATAGCGATCCCAACCCAAAGGCGTGCGACCTCCGACCCCGGATCTCACCTGGATGGGTTCACGGACGGGTCACCCAGTACGGGACGGAAGGTTGTCCCAGGGGCCATATGTGCCAGGCTGGACACAGCACCCTGGAAGACAAGGGTGGTCAGTACAGCCATAAAGCCTGGTCCGCTGACATACCCGGAGGTCAAAGGGCGCCATCTGCAGGCTTTACCGGGAAGCGAAGCAGCATCTTGGGCGAGGCCACGATGAGTGGCTTCCGGAAGTTTCGGATCATCTGACGTCGCAGCAGGTGGAAGTACTGGGCCGGGGTGGTGGGGTTCACCACCGACATGTTGACGCTGTCCCCGTCCACGCCCTCCTCTTTGCTGTCACACATCTGGGGCCACAGGACCACAGGGAGGTACTTACCACCACTCAAGCCACACATTTGCATGGGGCCCCTGAGGTTTGGGGGCCCCCTGTTGGCCACAAACAGTCACTATACTAAATATCAAATAATTATTCATTATTTAGGAGATGCTGAAGCAGCATGTTCTGCAAACAAGCCAGCTAGTTATGATCATCTCACTCCCCTCAATAGCTATTAACAGTTTCTTAGAATATCTGGGAGTGGCCCCAGAAAATGCAAACCAGCTCTCGCACACGCTCACCTGCAGGAATCGCTCGATGCGGCAGGAGGAATGCTCTGGCCCGGCCCCGTCATAGCCGTGAGGTAACAGGATGACCAACCCACTCTGCAGCAGCCACTTGGCCTCGCCTGGAAGAGCCGAGAGATCTGGAACACCGGGCCGGGTCGGGTCCCCCACCCCCCGCCCACACCCCGGCAGCTTTAAATGGGGCCACCTGCAAAACCTCAACTTCAAAACACGACTGCTAAGCTCGCCAACGGTCCACAAACCGAAATATGGAAGGTAAGTACGACAACTTCCTCTTCCCGTTTATCACGAAACCACCCTCAGCTCCACAATTCCTGCCGACGGCACATGGAATTTACAACAGGCCAGAAATGACAAAGGATGATGTAACTGTAAATTAAATTCCTGTCTTTTTCAGTTTCTCTTATTTTGTTCACAGAATCAGAAGAACAAATGCACTGTAGGAGAAGCACAGCAAAATCTGAAGGACGAATTCAGCCGGACAGAGGCTTCGCTAATGACCAATACCTCCTGAGATGAAGGTGTCGAAGGTGATCTGTGCCCCGTTGAAGAAGTCCCCGAACTGGGCCTCCCAGATGGGCAGGAGTTTGGGCAGGGCGATGCTCATGCCGTACTCAAAGCCCAGCACGGCCTCCTCAGACAGGGGGCTGTTACACACCTGAGGAAGAGGAGGTGCAAAAATGCCACGTTCAGCCAGGTCACCGTCCCACCTGTCAGGGCACTTTTCCACTGCACCAGGTACCACACTTTGGGTACTTTGCCTTTTCCTTTGACTTCCAGTCCAATACCAGTACCAAAAGTTCTAGTACTGAGAAGTTCCAAACCAGCTGGGGTACTTTTTTGCGACTTCAGTACTTTGGGGTGGGCAAACACTTTCTTTGTCGGTTGGTTATGCAAATAGCCTGCCTCTAATCACAATACAAACACCATCTTGGAAACGATAAACGAATTAAAAATAATAACAAAAGTAACAATAATGTATGTGTGGACAAATGAAGAGACCCAAGCTTTAACTGAGATCTGACTGGAAGAACCAGAAAAAGATCAGGGTGTCATGATAGAATATAAACAAGTATTTGCTACAATAAACTAGAAAGAGGTAAGGAACATGCACTGATACAGTGCGTTGCTGCACCCACCACACGAGGAACCACCTCAGGGATGAGAACCCGTGGGCAGCCGTGTGGCGGGCAATACCTCAGCACCACACTAGTCCAAATGGACCAGTGTGAGTTTTTCCGTGGCTGGAGCGCCAATCCTGCCACCGACCCCCAAATTTTCTCTGGATGTTGGAGGACCTGCTTGCAGGGCTGGATGTAGATTAACGTCGTACCCAGGACTAAGCAATTGCAGGTTAAGGGTCTTGCTCAAGGGCTGATGGAGTAGAATCACTCCTGGCATTCACGGGATTCAAGCCAACAACCTTTCCGATTGCCAGCACAGATCCCTACCTTAGAGCCACCACTCATAATATACTTGTGCTGCACGATATTGGAAAACAAAAATCAAATACCTCGATGTGATTTTGTTGTAATAAATACTGGCATATTTATAAAGCAAAAAAGGGAGCTAAAAATAAATTTCTCACAAACCCATCTAGGAGTGATTTAAACAGCAAGGATGGAAATGATTACGATTGTCTCGGAGAACGCATGCAGCGCTCATGCAAAAGCAAAACTTTAAACTGATTTTTAAAACATGTACTAAATAATCTTGAAAAGGAATAATCATTAAAATTGCAAAACTTGCTATGCTTTTTTTCCTATGATGGAGTAAAAATGTGTTAACAAAAGTTAAACCCCCTGGGCTATAATGTCCGTACAGTATGAATGTAAGAAAAAGCCTGATCTTAATCTAGCTGACTAGCCATGTGAGAATTGCATGTGCATAACATGCAATGTTGGTATTAATATTGTACATTGTCCAGCTCTATAATATACTACAGCCATTTTTCGAATTCAGTACAAAATACCTGCCCTTGTGCTGTGATGTCATTTGGCGCTGGTACCAGTTTTTACGCCAGTGGAAATCCGACACCTTGAAGTACCGAAAGCACGGAACCTGGTGCGGTGGAAAAGCACCCTCAGAGGTTCCATGCGACACATGCTACCCAGTACCACGAGCTCAGGGGGAGAGAAGACGGCACCTCCAAGAAGGCCTTCTGCTCGGGCGTGATGTGGTTCAGCGGGATGTACATGTCGTTGGTCTCCTGGCAGACCACCATGGCGTGCCGTTGGCTGAAGGTCCCGCGACCCACGTCCTGCCCGCTGATGCGGATGTTGAACCCTTAAGAGCAGTGGGGTGACACAGGCAGATAATTACATCAAAGATCACTACAGACTACAGGCTGTATCATCGCCACGGAAACCCCACCCACCTTGACACAGGAGGGACCCAAACGCCATGGCTTCAGCGGTGGACCAGTCCAGCTTAGTCCCATCTTCCAGTTTCTGAAGCCGGGCCTGTGTCAAAACACATGCAGGCCTACAGTCATCTGACTAAGGCCTCGGGACCAGAGCGCAGGACTACAGGGAGGACGAAGGG